ATCAAATAGCATTTATTTTGTAGGTAAATTAACATAGTAGTTACATTATTTTGGTCAAGTTAAACAGTGCCTAAATTATTTCGTAAAAACTAAACCAAGATAAATTATCGCCATTAAAATAAAACAGTAGATACATTTTTTTTTTATAAGATTAAACAATAGGTAAATTATATTGTAGGTACATTATGTTTGTAAAAAAAAAAAAAGGAGAATTGAAAGTAGTAGATATATTATTTTTACGTGCATTATATATATATATATATATATATTGGGCACATTTTATTACTAATATATATGTGTGCAATGGTTCACCTATATTATTATATAAAATATAGATAAATTTATTTTGAATCAAAATAACATTTCTTTTATTTTATAAGTAAATTATTTTGCATGTATTATTACTGGGCAAATTTTATAGTGCCCTTTCAGATTTTCATTTCATAAGAAAATGACACATTAAAATTAAAATTGTCTAATTTTATGCAAATTTGAAAAATAATTATGAAATATTAAGGAAAGTATAACATCAATGTTTTTTTTTTCCCAAAAGCATTAACATAAAATTTGTTATGATATATTAATATGCAATGATTTTAAACATTAATGCATTTTTTTTTTCATTAAGCCCTCCCTTCAAATTTGCATTGAATTAAATGTATACATTAAAACTGTAATTAGGGGTGTTTTAGGCTTCTAAAAAATGCAAAATGCGTGAAGGCGAACAAAATTAATGAATTTGCTTATGTGGAGCTTGTCATTGGGTTTTATTCAGGTAAAAAGACTATGTAGGGTTTTATGTAAAGAAACTTGGATTTTAGGAGCTAAAGTCATATTTTCAGAATTATATATGGTGGTTGGTTAATAAGAGAAATTCCACGTCAATTTTAAAAGATGCCAAAGAAAAGGCCACAATCTATAGAACGGTAATATCTTATCCTTAATTGTATAGATAGATAAACATGCAGAAAAACAAAAGTGAAAGAACGGTACAGATGCTGTTGAAATATAGGGTTGATAATATCTTATGTGGAGCTTAGTCATTGGGTTTTATTCAAGTAAAAAAACTATGTCGGATTTTATGTAAAGAAACTTAAGTTTAAGGGGCTAAAGTCATATTTTTATAATTATATATGATGGTTGGTTAATAAGAGAAATTCCACGGCAATTTTAAAAGATGCCAAAGAAAAGGCCACAATATATAGAAGGATAATATCTTATCCTTAATTGTATAGATAGATAAACATGCAGAAATACAAAAAGTGAAAGAACGGTACAGATGCTGTTGAAATATAGGGTTGATAAAATCTATCATATCAATGAAAGGATGATCTCCCTGTATGGGTTCAAAATCGAATCCAAATTCCCCTGAAAATATAGGTCAAACATATACATGTGTGCATGCATAGCCGTCCGAATCATTTGTGGCTAGCCTGCTGCTATATTAGATATTCTTATCCCACGCCACCCCATCATCCCCTCCAAAAAAAAAAAAAAAAAAAAAAAGGTTATTAGCATCATCATGACAGGAATTAATCGCAGAATATGTATTTTGCATCATCGCGACAGGAAGTAAATTAAATCATCCTTTTTTTTCCTGCCCAAGCTTAAGGCACACGTCTTTCCAAAGCTTGCAACTAGGGCATCCCGTGTTTTGCTAGCATCTTGCCTTAGATGCAATACTAGAAACATATCGTACTTGAAATTTTACTGCATTTCTACTGAACCACTTACTATGGTTAATCTAAATTATCTCTATTCTTTCTAAAAAGTAGGCGTGGTGTACGCTTTAGACAACCTTTTACCAAAAGTTTGATTAATTTTTTACAGTCACGTAATCCCATTTTAATTAACAAATGATGCTCTTACGTGATTACAATCAGTTTGCATGTGGGTGGATAGAATGTGGGTTTCCACTTATGTATTTTTGATTCGGAACTTTGTCTTTTAAATTATTATAATAGTTCTGATGATAAATTTAAAAATATATATAATAAAACAAAAATAATTGCATTCAGTTTCAGAAAAGGACTTTGGGTGGTGTATTTTCCTTGGCAAAGAAGAAAGCAGATACCTTGCAACTTGCTTGGACACTAGTAAACTAGTGGCAAGAACACTTGCTTTTTCAGGAAAATACGTCTCATAAATAAATCTGGGCTGTCTTGTGACATCTCAAAAAATTTAAAATCAATTGTAATTGGAAACATTGATCCAGTTGACTAAAAATATCTAATTTTGGTTGGCTAGCATACAATATAGTTCAATGAGATTTTTGTCATCCTAAGGATCAAAACTAACTATGGTACTAAGGAGTGGGGACATTTTAACAAATATAGCGTAGGTCAATTAAACAAGTGGTAGATTGTTGTAATTAATGGATAGGACATTCGTTTTTAAACTAGTGTAGCTTAAAATAATATTATTGCTTGTAATTAAACGAAATGAAATTACAGCAAGGTTTTCATTTTCTAAATTAGTCAAATATTTCTTCCGAAAAAAAGGCTGCTGCTATTAACATTGGAAGAAAAAAAAAGTAGTTGTTTAAAACTAACATGGATTTGTTAAAGCAAGAAAAAAAAAAAGGACTAACATGGATTTTTGTTTTTGGTAAAAAACTAACATGGTTTTTCACATGGCTACGGTTTTTGAAATTCATACAGTAGTTTTCTAATCAAAACAATGAGTATATTAGAATATTGCAAGGTTTAATTAAAGCATAATCAAGTATAGTAGCTGTTATTTTGGGCACAAATAGCATTTCCAAATTGTTTTGTATGCTATCTAATTGATGTGGAGGTCACTCAGTACTACGGTCTGGTGGAAAGGTCTTAAGTTCAAATCTCGTGGATATCGAATTTGATACCAAATTAGGCTACTCATTGTGTGGATGAGCCGAACTCCCCCTCCTTTAGTTTAAAAATATCGATGTACTAAAAAAATTGATGTGGAGACCTAAGTTAATTAAACAAAGATTAAAAAAACTTAGCAATTTAATTATATAACATTTTATGTAGTTCGAAGGTCTTGCTTTGTGTCTCAAGAATTATAAGGTCTTTAAGCCAAAAGGGTTATTGAGATTGACATAACTCTTCATTTTGGTCTTTGATATTGAAAATCAATAGAGTGGTCTCCAAGTCTGTCCATCATAAAATCAATTTGTCATTCTGAAAAACCTATCAATTCTTTAAATTGTCACATGAACGATCACGTGACCACCTTTTAAGGGCTTTTTTGTCACACAAAAGTCTTCACTTAATAAGGATATTGACAGATTTTTTACGTAATGACCAAAATAATTTAGAGTAGACAAACTCATGAACCATTTCTATCAATTTTCATTGTTAGAAATCAAAGTGAAAAATTATGTTAATCTCATAGTTTATTTTAGCTAAAAAACCGAAATATAATAACACAGGACATAGATTATCCTAATAATTATCTGAGTTGAGGACTGGGATTCGCATCTCACCTACCATTGACCTTGAAGAATTATTATGATTTAAGATATAATAAAAATGCACGCGAAGCCAGAGGAATTTGAACTCAGAATTGACACGATCCGTACGCCTGTCTCATAGCCGTAGTAGGGGGCGGCACCGGCACCCTTGAACTGCTGGCTGTTGGAAAGATTTGTTTACGCGGATTCCTTTTTTCCTACCAATAAGAACGAAGGTTAGGGCCTGAAAGTAAAAGAAGAATATGTAAGCATTAGAAACTAGGGTTTCAAATTCAATTATTGAAGCAAAAGCAATTTTAATTGAAATTAGAGTTAGGCATGGACAATTATTCAGTTGACCCTCTTCAAAATTGGTACAGGACATCCAGGCATCATTGAACCTGACTATTTAATGTTGCATTAGCGATTAGACGAGATTAGCTCCTTATTGCCGGCCAAAGACACAAAGTGACGCTTTCAACCTGAAAGAGAGAGGACAAACACATTATGAAAAGATAAACGCACACACGCATATAACTAAACCTTGCACAAAAAGGGAACCAACTAGCAAAGCGAAAGGAACATATAAGCTTGGGCAGGAAGTCATAAACGAAAATAAGCAATGTGAGACGCAAATTCATCTTAATGAACTCGAAAAATTGAGGAGAAGAGCAATATTATGATGATAAGCAAAAATAGCGGAGGGAGGACAAGAATCCGACCAATAATAAACTCCATAATGAGGTTAATGTTGCATCATGAATCATACACAGAGATTTGAATTTCTCAATTGTGTTTTGAGTACGTACTCTGCAAGATCCATGATTTCACATTTAATTAAAATTAATTGGTCTTGTTCATCAGCTAAATGGAGCTTAATTGGCTAGCGGTAACGTGTAGTGGTAGTTATGCCACAACAAAGTTTCTATATCTTTCCTAAATGTTTTCACACACAGCAAAAAATATGGACCGACCAAACAACGACTTAGCCCCGAAAGCTGATAATTTCATATTAAAAAGTGAGATACATGCCTAATTCTACAAAGACGTGTAGATTTTTATGTTGGAAATGTCTCTTTCTTAATTCATAGATTAGGTTTGGTCACGGTAGAAGGACCATCTCAGTGACTTTGGTTAAACCTTTTCTACCATAATTACATAGAAGCTTACAATTTTATGAGCCAATAACATGAAGCCACATGGAGACCGCCAGTTGGCCATGTGGGTGTATTCGCTCCTTTGCACTCAAGTATTGTTAGGCCATATTCTCGTTGCAAGTGGTGGATTGTCATCAGGTGGATATGAAATTCATCTTAATTAAACCCTCTATGTCCCGTTTTCAGACACTCCTTGTCGTTAGTATAGCTTAGATTAGTGATATCAATTGTTGTGAACAAGAATACTTGTTTTGTCAAAAGAAAAAAAAAAAGATTATATTGGGCTGGAGAAATGGGCTGGATCTAGTGGCTGAGACAGACTTAAGACTTGACTAGTAAAACTTTGGAAGTGGAATTGGCTGGGCTGTAGCCTGAACTTAGTCCAGCCCATTGATTAGATTCAAAGAAAGAAGAATAAAACATCACCTTTATTTTTCGTCGTTCTTTTCTTTCCAGTCAAAATTTAAGGGACAAAAATCCTGATGAACATTTGATTTAACATCACCAGTAACCCTTGCAAGAGCACTCACCATCTTTAAAATGGTGAAACCTATTCCTATCTCTTACAACAATCTCTCTGTTAAAAAGCTTAGATATCATTTTGGTTACGTCATGGCAATCCCAACAGACCCTGAGGTTCTTCACAATCCGAATTGGCACGCCTTCTTTCAAACTGATCAAACCAAAAGCAATCGCTACCTTCTCGCTATGTTTACACAATGCATCCTCTTTCTCTTCTTCTTCTATGTCGAACAGCACAGGATTTGTATTAGCCACATAACCGGCCAACTTCAGCCGCCGGGAGATTTCTCCCAGCATTGTCTCAATTTCATCGTACCGAGGATGGGACTTGTCTCCCACAAGGAACTCATGAACTTCTCCATCGACCTCTAGGACACTACAACCAGGAAGCTTCCTCACACCTTTTGCCTTCATAGTCTGACGCACATTATTAACTCCGTCCCAAAACTTGGAATCGGCATAAATATTGGACAAAAGCACGTAAGCGCCATGGTTCTTGGCCTCCAGTTCTACTATCTTCCTCAACGCAAGCTCACCTATTTCCATATTCCTGTACATTCTACTAGCGTTCAGCAAAGCCCCCCAAGCACCCGCATGAGGCTTCATTGGCATGTCGTTTATGAAGCTCAGGGCTTCATCTAAACGCCCGGCACGACCATATAAATCAACCATGCACCCGTAGTGCTCTAGCTGAGGCTCAATCCCGTACAATTTTCTCATTGAGTCGAAATGCTGACGACCCTTCTCAACTAGTCCAACCACAGTGCAACCCCTCAGAACCGAAACAAACGTAACTTCATTCGGATGAACCCCTTCGTTGTTCATAATGGTGAAAAGCTCAAGACACTTCTCACCAAAGCCATTCATAGCTAGTCCTCCCAATGCACTACTCCATGTATACACATTCTTTTCTTTCACCCCCCAAAACACTTCCATGGCCTTGTTCATGTTCCCGCATTTCGCATACATGTCGATGAGTGCAGTCCCCAGCGTCACTGTCATCCGCACCTTGTTCTTCTCTATATAGGCATGAGCCCATCTCCCTTGATCCAATGCCCCCAAGTGGGAGCAAGCCGATAAAACCGAAACCATAGACACCTCATTGACCCTCACACCCTCCATTTGCATCAAATGAAACAGATTCAAGGCTTCCCTAGACTTCCCACATTGCGCATACCCTGCAATCATCGCATTCCAAGCAACGGGATCCCTGTGAGGCATTTCATCAAACAGGTCCCGTGCAAAACCAACGTCACCGCATCTCGCACAGGCACTCACCATAGCAGTCTGGCAAACCAAATCCGGCTCAACAATTTCTCTAAACACTCTGCGACACGGATCTAAAGAACCCAATTCAGCATACATGAAAATTAACCCGCTTTGGACATGTGCGTCGTTCTCAAACCCGTGCTTTATCAATCCGCCATGGACGGTAGGACCGGTCTCACGTGCCAAAAGCTGCGCGCAAGTGCGAACCAAGAAGTTGAAGGTGTAATTATCGGGTGAAAGATTGTCACTTGATCGAAGAATTCTGCTGTAAAAGTTAAAACTTTTGGATGGCGTGGAGCTTTTGGAGTAGGCTCTGATCATGGAGTTGAAGGCGAAGAGTGTTGGGTTCTGGCATTGGTCGAGGACTTGATTGGAATAATCCAAATTGGTGGGGTTTCTGAGGGCAATGGCGGCGACAAAGTGGCCGGAAAGGTGACGGTCGTTGAGAAGGCCGTTAACGAGCAGTTGGGAGTGGATTTGCTTGAGCTCTTTGAGGGTGCTGTATGTGTCCACTAGGGCAATTGTTGGGTGTTTTGCAATGCATCTTAGGGAGCTCATGACTGGCAAATAATCATAGTGATGTGCTTTTGTTTCGGGTGGCTATATGATGCATTTGTGTGTCAAACATCTAACAAAAATAATGAAAATCAAAACACCCTTTTGTTCTCCTTCAATGTCATTTTTTTTGGAATCCGAATCCTCATTAGATCCTCTCTATGAGGATCTTAAAAATTCATAAATCGTGTCCGTTCATTGTATATCGTACAGTCATAAATTATTTTACATTTTTTATTTAAAATTAAACACAAATAGTACCTAACAAAAACTGATCATACGATGTACGATGAACATATACGATTTATAGATCCCCAAGATTCTTACAAAAAGGATCCATAGAGGATCCTGTTGGATTTTTTTTGTTCAAGTAACATTGGGAAATTGATTAAATGAGCAATTTCTAAATTTCGATTCAAATTATTAGTTTATCACTATTTCATCGATATTTAATTGATATGTTGTCAATAATTAATTTTGAGTAGTTCTGGTATTTGCTTTCTTGTCAGTTTTGTACATTTTCATAAACATAGAAAAGGTAAATTGCATCTACTAACCTAGAAACACTTAAATAGCACAGTATGATACGATCATGTTTATCTCACTCCTCATTTGTTAAGTCAAATAAGAATGGAAAGTGAGTTGAGCGTAGTTTATATTAAGTGAAAGAGTATCAGTGACTTGTGTAATTAAAAGAGTATCAGTGACTTGTGTAATTAAAAGAGTATTCAGTAAGGTTGTCACCTCATAACAACGTTTAAAGGATATGATTTTTGTGTGTGAGGGCTAGCGGGCGGATGAGTTGCGTTACTAAAGTTTCTTCTCTCTTTGCTAGGTAAATTCTCCTATAATCCTATTAACCATGCTTGGAACCAGTTGGCAGGGAAAGAAGATATTACCTTTTATATGCAATGCAGCACCGGATACATGAAGTTCTACATCCTATACGATGAGACTTTTTGTTGAAGATGACATCTGAGTGCTCTAAAAGTATTGTCTGTCGGGAAAACTTTGCATCTCGAGTTTGTAAAGAATCAAGACGAGCTAGGGTTAGCTAGCAGAGATGCTTGTACTCGTAGCTAGCTAGCATCCAACAAAATAAAGTTAAAAGTAGCTACGGCATGCAGTAGTACAGTTTCTTTATTCCTCATGGCTCATGCATGTACTCGTAGCTAGGGCACGAGTATTTCCTTCAGATTATCCCAACAGAACAATGTACAACCGAAACCTCACGAGTTAAAGTAGCTATCTATATAGCAATGTGCTTGATGTTTGGAATCTTTGGATGCATTCTGCTCAGTCCTCAATAACATACTGGATTTACTACTGCGCCGTTCTATGTATCTTCATTGCCAATCATATTTTCTGCTAGCAATTAATTGTCATATATGAAATTTGAATTTTGAACTCACGGTTAATTGGAAACTAGATGCACAAGACCAGACGGTCGCGTGCCATTGTCGATACCTTAAAGGAAAACAGAAAAGAAAGCAGTACAAATTAAGAACATTATTCTAATCAAATCCAGTTGATTAATCACCAGGCTTGATATGTAAGTTGTGTTCTAATAATCATTGTGTGCAACAATTAGAGGACTAGATTAAAATATTTTAGATCATATCAGACGGTCTAAAAAAACCTACAGTTCACTGCAAAAGGAAATCATCATAACTCAAGTTGCTCTCTTAATTGTGTCATAAGACTCCTAACCATTCTTGATGGGATAACATGACAAGGTACTCCAATAGTCCAATGATCTGATCAGGGAAGCCGACTATATGCATAATCTACGAATGCATGATATGCATGCTATACTCGATATGTCGAATAGATCTATGAAACGTTATGTTACTTCAAACTATCTTATATTAAACTGTTAAAATACAATTATTATATCATTAACAGAAGAAATTAACGATTGATAGCCTCGCCCTAGTATAAAATATCCCAGAATAGAGTAGGAAATCTAAGCAAAAGCCTTTGACATTGTGAGGGTTGACCGTCCAGTAGGAACCAAAATTCAAACCGTATGGCAAGTCCATGCGTTCACTGGCAGGCTAGCTAGCAAGTAGCAGCCTTGACTTTGGACATGTCACTCGACTGCTCGGATCGCGGCAGTTAGCTTATCAAGAAGAACACCTTTGTTGAATAATACTCCTCGTGCACCGCCAACTTGCTTTGCTGCAACCGTCTCAACTCTCTAGTCGTGAGCACAATATAATAAACTATTAATAATATAGTTGAAGATTTTGTAATACTCGCAGCCAGTACATAATAACTTCAATTCTTACGTCAATTAAAGAAAATAAAATGTTAAACTTTTGGCTCGTTTAGAACTACTTATGAGTTCTTAGAACTTATGATACTATAATCGTAGTAAGATAGTAGGGTTATAAGGGTATAAAAATCACGTCGCTTATCTGTTAATTCGGTTCGATTTGATTCTGGAACTACTGAAATCAAAACTGAACCAACTAATTTTAGTTTAGTTCGATTTTTCAAATTCAATTTGATTTTTTTCAGCTTTGATTTGATATTCCGCTTGGTTATTTTTGGTTTTTGGTTTTTCGAATTCACCCCCAATGCTTATGGGGTATTGAATTTGATTCAAGTCGACCGAAACTCCACAAAATAGTTGACTGCAAAAGAAAAAAAAAAGTCGTTAGCATGTATAAAAAAAAAAAAAAAGGTGTGCTATCCACACATCATTTTTTACTTCTCACACACTCCTTATTAATTTTTATCATTTTATCTTCTTCAATTTATCTAATCTGATAATCGAAAATAAAAAAAAAATGTAAGAAATAAAAAATGAAGTATGGATATTACACCTCAAAAAAATATAAGAAAAATTTGAAATAGGTCCAATTTTATAGACTACCTTTTAAAATAAATCTAATTTTTAGTTGCTTGGATCCATTTCAAAAAACCCCAAAAATATATAAAATGAGATAGGAAGTATGAAAACAATAAATAAAGCAAAAGCCGATATTGTGGACACTGCGGCGGCTGGGGAGTTTGCGCCGGTGGAGCCACGGAGGGTTGGAAGGAAAACTGAGAGCGTGGTAGGTCAGTTGTCAGTACCCTGAGAAATTAAAATTAAAGCGTCGTAGGGCCCTTTAGGCCACAGGCTTCAATGACCCCCTCTTGTCATCTATGTAAGACTATAGTCAGATCCATTTACTAAAATACCCTCTTAGTAGGTGGCATTAATTGAAGGTTTTTATGTTTTTTTTGTTATTTTTGGTTGAAGGTAAATTTCATTATCAACCGAACAAATGTACATAAGAGATTCAATTACAAGATAAGCACTACACAAAGAACAAAATAAAACAAAACAAAGCCCAAAATAGAAAGAAAACAGATCAAAAAAAAAAACAAAACATAAACCCTAGTACCCTGCTACCCCCGTCTTCGTCGTAGCAGCACAGATACACCAACATGAAAAGCCTGAGATCCAACCAAACGATCCTAGAAGTGAAGGAAATGAAAGAAAATAAGGCTCCATCGTTCTCCACCAAGCACCACCACAAAGATTGCAACCACAAATCAAGGGAAGATCATGAAAATTCACATCCCACAAGCAACATTGCCTAAAGGCAAACAAGGGGAAGGTGATGGTGTTGGTGTGAACTCCCGAGTCAGAACTCAACACACCTTCTGATAAACCTACAACTTGTCGCGGTAAAGAGAAGTGGTTGCAGATCAAGATTGATGTTGGATCGAGAAGGGACAGAGCTAAGTGGGAAGGGTATGAATTAGACTAATGAGAAATATGGAGGTGAACAGACAACAAGGAGTGGAGGGAACCGGAGGACAAACTTTGGGGATAAGGATGGTGAGATCGAAGACAAGAGGAGTGTAGAACAAGAGATCATGAGGGAGTAGGGGAAAACGCAAGCTGAAGCAAAAAGGAAGAGAAGGAGCAAGAAGCTACCCCAACCCTAACCACATCTAGGATCAATGACTGTAGAAAAGTTACCAGATTTGAGATCACTCACACAACAATGAGAAAAAAACTCTCAGTGAGAGAGAATGATTCACGAAACGGGAGAGAATTAACATAATTGAAGGTTTGGCACGTAATTAACATTGCTGATCATATAGACGTACTGTTCCAATCTAATTTTCTATAATTGAAATTCATCAATTCTCCGTTCCGGATTCTTGCATGTCAGTGAAGTATATCTTCAAGTTTACGACATTTATTACATGCTTATCCAATGAACGATTATATAAGTTACACTCACAAGGAAATATATCTAACTAACACCTAATTCCGTCCTCTCACAATGCTTTGAAAATGAGATGGAGACACTGATCCGTTGTTGAGTAATATCAAACATCACATCACTCGAACACAATAAAATTACTTGAGCATTGAGCAGCAGAATATAAGTAATTTTGGCCATTTTTTCAAATAAACAGATCAAATACTTTGGACCCAGAACTTTTTACGTTAACAAAACAAGTGGTAAATCTCAAATTTCGTCACAAATTTAACCACTAATTTTTTTTATATGAACATTGAAGATTATCCAATTATTTGTTAGTTTAAAACAAGATTCATCATTATTTTACTCTATTTTCTTAAAATGCAAGCAACAAATTGGAATAGAGAAACCAGAAGGGGGCCATTCGGTAATTCCATCTACCTGTCTACTCTCCCCCAAGAAAAGAAAGCCTCCCGTCTCTTCACCAAAGCTCCTTTTATAACCCCACCAACAAGCTCTTTCCCCAATGGAAGAATCTCTCCTCTCTCTCTCTCTCTCTCTCTCTCTCTCTCTCTCTCTCTTCCCACTCCGAAGTTCTAAAATTTCTGGCTTTCACAAGTTCCCAACCATAGAAAAAGCAGAAACTTGCAGCAGCAGAAACAACTCTTTCTTCTTCTGCAAAACAACCCCATGATTTTACCATTTTTCTCTCTCACCCCAAGCTCTTTACTCTCACAAGGGTGATGGGTGTGAGCTCCACTTTCTCTCACACTTTCCACATTGCAGTAATCCTCACATTAAACCCACCACTCTTAAGCCCCTGATAATTCGATTAATTACACACACAGCATTGGAATTTTGTAAACTGATTGCATTAATATATGACGAGTGGGAAACTCTACGGTTCTTCTTCTGCGGACATGAAAGTAACTTTTCGAAACGAAAAGCGTCCTCGCTCTTCTGACGTTCTCGAGTCTCTCTGGATTCCCAATCCTTCCTCTTCTTTTTATGGTAAATTTTTTATCTGCTTTGCATTTTATTTGTTGGGATTGTAGCCTTTCTGATATCGTTTTTCTTTTCTGAGAAATTGACTCGTGGGGTTTTCTTGGTTGACTTGATGGATTAATGTTAAAGCTTGAAACTTCCACACTTAGCATCTGAATCAATGCACTAATTTGTTAAAAATCGAGTTTTTGTAGCAGAATTCTCCTAGTATTCACCAAAGTTAAGCACTTTTTCTATTAAATGTTGCCAGTACTTGCTTAATTAACATGTAAAAGATTAGAAGTTTGGAGCTTTTTGGATTTTTAGATAGAAAGCTTGAAGCTTTTTGCATGTTTAGATGGAAAGTTTGAAGCTTTTTGCAAGTGAAGTTTGAAGGATCAAAGTTTTTTGCTGACATGTTGAATAGTTTCTCTAGTTGCTAGTTTCAGTCCGTCAACAAAATTGGAGGACTTTCATAATTTGGTTGCACCTTTTTACTATGCAGGCTCAAATTCAATGGTTAATTTTGAAAATGTAAGTGGAGGGGATTCATTGGATAGGCCTTTCTTCCAACCTAAAGAAGAAAATGAGGATGAGGATTATGACGGTAGCTACCTTCATCAGCCCGGAAAGAAAAGGCGGCTCACGGCGAATCAAGTTCAGTTTCTGGAGAAGAATTTTGAGTCAGAAAACAAGCTTGAACCGGAGAGGAAGGTGCAACTTGCTAAAGAACTTGGCTTGCAGCCTCGCCAGGTCGCAATCTGGTTTCAAAACCGGCGGGTGCGGTATAAGAACAAGCAGTTGGAAAAGGACTATGATTCATTGAAAGCTAGCTATGATAAGCTCAAGGTTGATGCTGATAATCTCCTCAAGGAGAATGAAAGTTTGAAGAATGAGGTATAACAAATTCCTCAATTCAATATGTATTGCCTTTTAATCTCTCACATTCGGCTGATAAGCTCGGTTCTGGAGCGCACATTCAGCCGTTAAATTCAGCTATGTCTGTCGGTACTTTGGTGTACTCTAGAGTTTAGTTTTGAGTAACTAGTAATTGTGTGGTTTTGTTATGTGTTAACAGATTGATTCGATCAAGGATATTTTGCTTTCGAGAGAGAAAGGAAACCCAGGAAAGGGAGATTCGGATTCACAGGATGCGATTAATACATCGGATTTGGAGCCTCGGAATGCAATTCTGAATGCAGGTTCAGAAAATGTGACCAAAGTGGCAATGGTGGTGTGCAAGCAAGAGGATGCAAGTTCTGCAAAGAGCGATGTCTTTGACTCGGACAGCCCGCACTGCACTGAAAATCATTCGTCGTTGTTAGAGCCGGCGGATTCCTCCCATGTGTTTGAACCAGCTGATCAATCAGATTTCTCGCAGGATGAAGATGATCTGGGAAAGACCCTTCTGCCCCCACCACCACCACAGTTGTTAAAGCTTGAAGATTGCTGCTATGATTATATACCCCCTCCAAGCTCTAGTAATTTTGGGTACATCCCTTTGGACGATCAGGATCAGCAACCCTATTGTTTCTGGCCTTATTGAGAGAGAGAGAGAGAGAGATCACGTTTCACAGCAGACTGCCGCTTCATTTCTTTGCACTATCTAATTAGTTGCCAGTTGTAATTATAGTTAAAACAATAAATGAATCCAATCATTATGCCACTAATTATGTTTATGCTTACGGGTTTATGATACAACATGGTTTTTCATTCAAAGCTGCGAGAGATCTCAAGTTTGAATCTTCCTTCCTGTCCCTAACGAGAAAACAATATCGACATGAAAAGATAAGAACATAAGGAATTTTAGTGCAAGTAAAAGGAAGGGAAACATCGTATCTTAATGCATATTCTGGAACTAGATCATGCTGCTGCATTCGATTACCTGTGTTTTAAATTGATTCTTCTGCATTAAGATAGGCAGCCCCAACGAAAATACAGTAAAAAAACAAAGAGAAAAGCTGAAACGTCGGTTCTTAAAAGTGGGGCTCTTCACGAATTTTTTGTCATGTCACTTTTTATGATAATATTATAAAATATTATGTTAAAAACATGTGATAAGATAGAGTTCATGAAAATTTTATTTTAAAAAAGTTTTCTATAACAGAGAATTATTTACACATACTTTTAAAGGAAAACTAACGAAAAGTAAAAAAAAACTTTAGTTTTAATGAAAAATGACAAATAAATGTGTAGTGAACAATATCAGGACAAAAGAAAAAAATGTGATTTTTCGTTAAAAATAAACAGTACCGAAAGTGTTTCGTTAAAACTCATTTCTTTTAATCTTTGGATTTCTAGAAAAGATTACATTAAAATTCGAATTATTACCATGTTGTTCAACATAGCACACGGAGATTAAATAAATATCACCAGTATTTTAATTTTTGTTGTAAATTAATGTGTTGAATGCTACGTCCTTGTGAAGTAACGGCCAAGACAAGTATTATTTTATACTTGAAAAAGATGGCGGAAAATTACAGAAATAGAAGGCTTTCAAAAAGTCAAATTTTCTGGTATAGTTCGTCTTCGGTGACAATTACTTGTGTGGGATTGGAACGGACTTTTTGGACAACCCAGATCCCGATAGCTTATTGGGGATGTTGACACCTTGTTTACGTTATTTAAAGAGAGATAATGTTAGGAACACTATTTTTTTTTGAACTGAATTGATAAATAAAATAATGTGATTCTTGATGATTAGATTATTATTTAAGTATTAGTTAACGTGTTTATTTTATATTGATAACACATCATTTAGTTGGCAAATTTAATTCAAATTTTTTATTTCTATAGCATTACTCTTAAAGTGTAAATATTTTACAGGTTCAGACTAATTATGCAACTTAACTTCAATTTTATAGCTGAGGGAGTATGACGTTTGATTGTGGCATTTGGGAGGATGAGTGTGTTGAGAATACCAATTTTATCTCGGAAAAAAAAAAACAGAAGATATTATGTGTTTATAAGTAATTGAGTTATTAACGATATTATTAATTGGTTTTATAATGAAACATCAACTTCTTCGTGATATCAGAGTAGATTGTTTTAGGTGTGGAGCCCAACGGCCAGTGATTTGTATTGTTCACGTGCTAAACTTAAAAATTCGCCATACATGAAAGGACATATTAAGAATTAATCTCATATCGAGAAAAGAAGAAACCTTCTACATGATGTGTCATTTGATTGTTAAATTGCCTTTTGTCTTCATGGCCTCCACTGAAAATTAATTCTACTATTCTGTGTGTGGAATACCTCATCATTTTTGGGGCAAAAACAAAACCGTCAATTTCATAACTAATATTTTTGTATAAAAAATATGTAAAATATTTCAACAGTTGTATATACATTTTTCTAATATTGCGACTGTATTATATACATATTTCTAATCCATACGTTTGCATTTGTCCGCAAGATTGCGTCCGTTGCAGAAAAATCTTGCTGATGCAATCGTGGGACGTTGCACAAGAAATCGAGTCCTTGACACTGTAAAACAAACCCTAATGAGGGAATATAATACATAAGGATATGATCCTCTGATTTATTTAATTAATTTTATGGAATATAGATTGCATCATGCATGGTCCATGCCCAGATATTAAAATGGAGGAGGTTGCTGAGAGAGAGGGGTTGAGTCTTGTTGGTTCACGTGAAAAAAAAAGAGATAAAAAAGCAGCAGCAGCTTTGGTTTGACGTGAAAATTTTGAACTTGTTGGGTGAAAGAGAAAATACCAGTGACTTTGATATGACACCAATGAAGAAGAACTTAACTTTTGACTGAAAATATGGTGCTTAATCGAGGACTTTTTTTAGTATGCGTCGTATATATTGCTTTATGTGATGTGAGTTCGAGGGTTCGATTTGGGTGCGTTGATTGTCTGATTTTTGCAAGCTTGTGAGTTGTTACTTGTAAAATTTGTGTGGGTTTTGTTTGAATAGGTGATTTGGCTGTTTGAATTGAGAAGAGATCATTTTCGGATCTTTTCCATTAAGATCACCGAATCAAGTGATTCGTGCATTTGAAATTTCATCTACCGGTAAAAAATTATTATAACTTTTATAGGGTCAAAAAAGATGGGCCGTTAGATAAAATTTCAAAAACTTGGATCACTTGATCTAGTGACATTGGTCTAAGAGATTCGGAAATGATCTCTTCTCGTTTGAATTGAGGGATTTGGATGTTTTCTGCAAATTGATAATTAAAGAAAAGTAAGAGGATTCTCTCTCCCCTTCTATTTGAACGATTACAATTAAATCATATTAACATCTTATATTGATTTTTTTTATAGAGAAAAAAATAATAAGCGAAGTGTGGGAAGATAAGAGGGAAGGAAAGAGAAATAAGAGAGAAAGAGAATCATACTCTGTAAAATGATATTGGGAAGACTAACGACAAGTTTGGGGAGGAGGGTTGAGTTTTTTATTCTTTTTTGTTATCATTTCTATTTACACTAGCTTTAAGAGATACTTGAGTTCACGTTACATTAAATGAATGAGAAATGCAAATTGAAGAAGTCATAAGAAAAAAATTGCTAACGTTTCTCAAGATGCAAGGAGTAATTTTCCAAATGGCTTATTTTAATAAGCGAAAAACTTTTCAATCGTGTTTATGAAGTTTTATTAGATACTTTGTCGATTTTTAAGGCGAACCTTATTGCATTGTATGATATATCTAACTCTAAATCTGACTAATGATTGCTTGTGGGAAGCAGTAGGATGGAAAAGTGGAAACTTCTCCTCCCAAACATCCCCTACTCAATTGGGAAAAAACAAATTCAATAGAGGGTTGGCGAGAGTTTTTGTCACGACAAACATTCCCAATCACACATAATAGAAAAAGAAAGCATCAATCCACTCAAGCAAACTTTTAACTTTTACATTTGGAGCAGTTTAGTTCATCTTCTCAGCTATAGGGATAAACTTCGATATTTGAATTGCTTTTATCACATCGATAATAAAACCATCAACATATAGAAAGGCCCTGCTCGTGAGATAGGATGAACAATACATATCATCAGATTGTTCTATCCAAGTTTTTCTTGCAAATTGTAACCCAACCACACATCAATGTGTTCCGTGTGAGGTGTGAGAACTCCAACAATGATCACACTACAACTTCTAATGGCTCAAGAAATCTCCCCAGCAAGTAGTTCAGAGTTGGCAAGCTACGCCACGTGGACACAGCCATTTCATAGTTGGCAACTATGCCACGTGGACACAGCCGTTGGCCACTTCAGTTTTTGTAACTTTTAGATTATTATTATTTTTTTTTTCCAATTAGACCACCACACAGTACCGACGATCTCACAATCATATCGAAGCAGACAATCACTTTCTCCAGAAGTGTCAGAAGGGGCTAGAACGTACACCATATACGTGGCAACTTTCTACTGCGTCAGCACAACACCATAGGCACTTTAATGGGCCAGGCCCACATTCGGGCCGTGGATGAATAGCTTGCTACGTGGCAAGCAGGCTATGGTGGTTCAGAAAGCGAAGGCTGGGCCCACTGCACAAGGGTCCCTTTCCGTAGTCTGTTTCAGGAGAGGCGCAGGACAAGAAAGCAAATGGGTGGGCCGGGATATGATATGGGTTTTGTTTGATTGACAGGTCTGTCCCTGCGGGACCATCCACACTCCTCTCCCGGCGATGGCACACGTATACGGTCTCTTTCGTTGGTTCTACCCACGTGGCCACCCACACCTCGTGAGCTGATTCAACGATGGAAGTGGGCCAGTGACTACAGCTCTCCGGATATCTCTCACGAAATTCATCTAATCAATTAATCTGAACTTTTGAAATTTGATCAAACGATTAAAATTATTATAACTTTTTAAAAGATCCCTATTTGTAGCCGTTGAATCAAATTTCAAGGATTCAGATTTATTGATTGGTGGGCTTTGGTGGGAGAGATCCGGAGATGATATCTTCTCGGTTTGTTCTATGCATAGTAGGACAGTGGCTAGGCAAGATGATTAACGTCTTCGTCTGATAATACAATGTGACATGCAATGTTAAGTGTAAGTTTCGATTCACATAATGTTTATAGGATAATACTAGAGAGACCAAAATTTTAAATTAAATTTGCAAATCAAATGATATGTTACCAATAAGAAATAAGCATGTTAATCAACACTTAAGTAATACATCAATCATCAACGACCATATCATTCGATTTCTCTAGCATTACCCATATTTATATGGTTGGAGTGAAAGGGTGAGCCCATTTCATGTAAATGACGCTTTTATGCTTAGGGTTAAAGCTCATTTAAAAGTGCTTAAAGAATATTTTTGCACTCGAAAGCACTTAAAGTGTTTTTCTAGAATTTACTTACACTTTTACTAAGAATTGGTTCCAAATATATTTTCACCAAAAACATTTTTAACCATTTTAAAAACACTTCCAAACAAATTTAATTATTTTCACAAAAAATACTTTTAAATATTTTTACCAAAAACACTTTTAAATATTTTCACTCCCATGCATAAAGCTAGAAGGATTTTGGTCCCCACATGCTCAACCTTACATTGGGCCACTTAAGATACCTACAAATCACTCAAGCAAAAGCAATCCAATCCTAAAGCCCAATAAGAAGAGTTGGCACTTGACACCTAGTCATTCCTTTCAAAACAAGAATGCTCAACTCCCAACTCCTTGAGATTCTCGTGTGTCACCAGTTATATACAAGCATGCACAAATCTCTTCCATCATGTGCCAAGACGGGAGATAGACAAAGATAGACACATGATTGTACAAACCCGAGGAGTAGGGAAAATTGAAAATTCCCTCCAATGCCAGAATGGTTCATTATTAAAATTGCCGGGGTACCATAACCATAGATTGACAAAGATACTAGTCCTTGAGATCAAGGGTTGGACAATCACTTCATATTCAGAGAGGCTAAACACATTCTGGAATTCTTTACTAGTGCTTGAGAAATAGATTTAGACAAGCAGAGTGGATAGATTTCGATCGATGATTAAGGCTATCCCATATGTTCCCAATCATTGTGTTTAACAGAAACAAAATGCGATATTCATCAAATGACAAGACAAAACTCAATCGAAAGGTAAGCATATCGTAGATTGTAGCAACTCGGTTCCGATACATGTGCTTTAATTGCCCCGAACCACAACTGAACAAATCATATTAGTAACAAAATACGAGGGTATTCATAGAACTTCTCCACCATGTTGTGTAATGAGTTAAACTATGCTTTGAAAATTTGATACAAATGAACATGTAGAAGTGAATAGAGAAGTATACAAGCTCAAAAATTCAATCGTCGGTAACAAATTTAAAATTTCTTGTCAGTTTGATGAACGTAAAGACTTCTTAAGATTCCGAAGGATGCTCCACATGAATGTGGAAATAAAGAAGAGGACAATACCAGTAACAACTGCATATTTGAGGCCAAGGTTCACCAACAAATTTACCAGAAGCCCAGCCAACACAACACCAAAGAAATTTGCAGACACCGCTGACCAGAATGGCATGTCGAGAATGGAAGCTATGATGGCCCCTGTCCATGCTCCTGTTCCCGGGAAAGGCACAGCCACAAACAGCATCAGACCAAGCCATTGGAACTCCTCTACAGGGCCAGCTTTCTCTTTAGCCCTCACAAACAGCAAGTCAAGGAACCGAGCTGCAGCCTTGTTCTTTCCAGCAAGGAAAGATGCAAATCTCTTCAGGTAAAGTATGATGAAGGGCACAGGAACCATGTTCCTACAGATGCATAGTCCCAAACTCTGTCAATCCCTAACTTTGTGAATTTCAATGAAAAATTTGACTAAACTACTCTTCTTAGGATCACAAATGTCACATTGTACAAGAAAATGGCATAGATAGTGCATAAAGGTAAAATGCTGAAACTTGAAGCACCCTTTTGATCAAATGGGCAAAAGCCAATAGGCCATTACGAGCGTTAGGATTTCAGACAGACATACTAGCGTCCCACTACTAATCACACGTATGTACTGTATTTCATTTTGTCAATTTACCGACGTGGGACGTTTTACATTCTTCAACAAGGAAAATGCTGAATGTATGAATTTGTTTAAAAGTTAAGAACCACATTTGCACAAATATTTCCATAAGCAGGCACATTCTATCAAACAGACACAAATCAATCATTAAAGACCTGTCAAACAACATTGGTGAAACAAAATCCCAACAAAAATAAAGTAGAATGTCGAAAATGGCTATAGTAGAGAAAAATGACTAACCCAACAACAGATAGAGCTGTTAGCAGAACAGGCTTAAGCTGCATCCAGTAACCAACAGGAATGGCCCCACGAAGCTCAATGACCGGAAGTGTGGCCAGAGCAAACACCACAGCCTCATCAGGCCAGCCGGAGCTTCGAAGCACCGTCGCAATCTTCAGGCCAAAGTTGGAGGCCCTGATTGAATCCGCAGCCGCCGCAGCAGCAGCATTTGCATTTCCGGAAGCCGCGAACAAAGCAAGCGACACAGATGCCCAGACCAAAACCCAAAGGGCAAATTTGACCGGCCGCTCCTCAAACAAAGGCAAAAGCTCATCTTCCTCGTCTGTTTCAAGAAACCCACGTGAGGAAACTCTTGATGCAGCGCGAGGGAGGGGTGAAATTGCAATAGAGGGGTTTAAATTGGGCAAAGTTTGAAACTTCAACTCAGCATTGGGGCTGGAAGGGGATTGTTTGATGTGGGTAATGATTGGACGGCTATTTTCTGGTGAAAATACGAAGTGGGTTTTTCTGAGAGACAAATTTGACGTCAATGGTGATGTGGATGCTGATAGAGATGCAGCCATTGCAGCAGAGTTAGGTGAGCGATAGAACCCAAAGTTTCTGTTGGGGAGTTAAGCTCTCTGAGTGAGGATTTTACTGCGTCCAGGCAGGGATTTATGAACACCCATCAGAATGTTGGAGTGTGGGTGGAAACTATAGGGTTGTTTTATTTAAAGTTTTGGTTTTTATAGTGAAACTTCCGGATTTGGCAAGGTTGGGGAGAGATGAGCATCGACGGTTGAACTTGAGTGGCATAAGGGCAAATCCACCCCTAAAAAATGTGCTGGTGACAGACCTCATGAACAGTTGAATTGGCAAAATGTATTTCCACCTCTAAAACTAAATACCCTAGTCAATTTTATTAAAATATTATTAATTTTTATTATAAAATAATAATTTGATTTTTAATAAACGATGAGGAACTGAAAAATTGGGCCACTCTACCACTGACCTTGAAAGCCCAAAATACTAGAAGCTCCCAGTCCGTCGTCAACCTGCCAACCACGTCTCTTTCTGTCAACATTCTCACTCATGGCTCCCCCCAAAATTCTGCTCTCCAACGACGTTTCTAGCAACCTCAAGCAGCTCTTCAAACGTGTCGTTTCGGTATCTCTCTCTACCTCTACCTCTGCCTTTGTATCCTTTTTCTAGCTCCACTAGTTTTTAATTTCTAATTTTACTGAGTTAACTCGTTCTAGGTCAACAAATCGGCGGCAGGTCCATTCGACACGTTGTTATGCGTGGGCTAGTTCTTCCCTGACTTGACGAGTTCAATGACTACATTGAGGGCCAGGCCCAAATTCCCCTCCCGACCTATCTCATCAGTGACTATTGGTGGTCCTCTTGGCGCAAAAAAAAAAAAAAAAAAAAAAAGCAGGTGCCCTATGACTCCACGCTAGCATCAGCATGACGTCAGATGGCCTGGTCCATAGCTCTGTCGATTCTGGGTTGGCCTGGAGACCAGCTTGGGCTGGGTGCCAGCCTATTTGCTGGGGTAGAGTGGATTGGCTGGGCGCCAGGCCAATAATTTGACTGTCAGCCTAATGGTTCCCCGGTGGAACTGCTCTAATAGAACAAGTGTGGAGGAATTAACAAGGTTTTGGTGGAGTTTAAAGTTATGGTAAGGATGGGAAAGGAATTTACCCCAACAAAGACGATTGTAATTGCATTTAATTTCCCTCCTTTGCATGAATGAGTTCGCATAAGAATATAACACTTGTACTAGTGGTGAAGCTAAAAAGTTTTTTTTTAAGGTTCTAAAAAACATTACGCACTAGTTGGACGGTGGGTTGGGGCCTAGCGTCTATACGGATTTAAGTAAATCTATTGCATTTCGTGTAAATAAGTGTCTGTTTATACTTAAAATATATATAATTTCATCATAAACTAAAAAATAGAATGACATATATATTATGAAGTATTGGAACATAATGAAAATATGGGGAGTAAACATATAATGTGTGTTTATTTAAGTGTTCAATAAGTCTCTTATAATTTACTGGAAACAATAAAATGCAAAAGGAAAGTAATATATTTTCTATCCAAGTGAGTTGCAACCTAAGTAGGTGTCTAGTCGGGTCTGGGCGGGCACCTCAACAGGTCTAGGCACCCTTTCTTAATTTTCAAACGCATATGCATTAAGCGAGGCCTAGGAGGAGCTAGGCAGAGATTTTTAGAACAATATTTTTAAAACACAGCTAAGTAGTGGTAGATGAAGTCTTTGTGAAATTCCGAAAAACATTGTGCACAACGTCAAAATTTTTAAGTGAGGCATTTTGTGGAGGTAAACGCGTACATATTGTGTGTTTAGCATACATTCCCACACTTTGTTATATTTAACATAGAGTTAAATCATGTAAGTATAGGATTATGAGGTAAAACTTATAAGATGGACGGGAGGTAAGAGAGTTAATGGGCTTTTTATTATTTTAAGAAGTAATAACTAACTTTAAAACTTTTTTTTAAAAAAAATGGTATGGTTCCCTTGAAATATATAATTTTTCTCCTATTTCTTCTTCTTCAACGTGAGCTACCTTAATCAACTATGCAACTAATTGTTTTTTTTTTTTTTTTTGGTTAAATCTGCTTCCTGGTGATTTTAAGTAAGAAGTGAGTGATAGAGTAGGTGATAATGGTAAATTAATTATTCTTCGTCATGATCCGATACGACATCGTACCAAACGATGAAAGGTGACTACAAACGAAAAACAAATATTGTCAGAATTGTTTGAATATATCCACTATTTTTATGTACTCGAGCTCGAAGGATAAACTCATGTCATGCATTTTATTTATTTTTGGTGAACAACACAAATATGTTTCCTATTCCTTTTCCGATAGATATTTACCCAAAAGAAGGAAAGATATTTTCTACTTGAAGAAAGAAAAGGATTCCATGACTTTTTACAGTTCAATACCACCAATAATCAACCCACGTTGACGGTCAAACTCCAAACTCGCATATCATACACTTGCACTATATCACAAGAACAGGCCGGGAACTGAAGTGTCAACTCGAACATCTAACACCATGAGCCGGAAGAGAGACAAACCCTACTTCTCCCGCCACGCCCCCTACTCCGGATCGAAACGCCGTCGTCCCCTGCCTCCACATCCGGAACCCGAACCCGAACCCGAGCTCGACAAGCCCACTTACAAGCAACCGCCGCCGCCGGCTCTGGTCGTAACAGGTCTCCCGCCCGACTGCTCTGTCCTAGACCTCAAGTCCCGGTTCGAGATCTATGGACCCATCTCCCGCATCCGCATTGACCGCGACGCGGTCGGCTACGTCACCTACCGTGCCGCCGACTCCGCTCAAGCCGCCATCGCTGCCTCTCTCGACCCATCATTCGGTATCACCATCGAATCCAAAAAAGTACTGATCTTTCCTCTTCAATTGACCCAGAGAAGCTTTCTTTTTACTATTTAATTTCTGGGGTTTCGAATTTTTGTTGAAATTTGGGGTTTTGCCGCAGTTGCAGGTGCTTTGGGCGACGGACCCACTTGCCCAATGGCGGAAGGGAGTCGGAGCTGGTGCTGAAAATAGAGATTCCGGTGCCGGGTCGTCGGCAAGTTCAAATCTTGTGAGGGCGGGGGTGCCGCTGAGGGGGCGCGGCAGAGGGAACAAGCTTGCTTCGGCAATAGTGAATCCCAGAGGCGGCGCTGCTGCTGCTGCTCCAACGACTGCTGCTCCTGCCACTGCTGCTGAGAGTTCTTCGTCGGCGTTGGATGCGCCTTCCAAACCCAGAGAAATCGTTGCTTATGATGATATCCTGTAATACTATCAGCTGCGTTTTGGGATTTGGAGGGTTTAGTTTTGTAACATTAGCAATGGGTTTTAGTTCATAGAGATATGAGAGGGTATGAAGTTGCTTGAGTTAGCAGAGATAAAAGGTTTGGCTTTCAGATCATTGATGATTGATGTTTTTATGTTTGTTCGTGAATCCGATGTTTTGCATTTGTTTGGTTTGTGAATCTGTATGCTCTTTTGTTTTATATTTTAATGAATAAGGCTGCTCCATGTTGTGAATAACGTAATGCAGTACTATATTTGCTTCAAGCCTTCAACTGTTCAACAATGTAGTTGTTCTGATTGTGAATGTGATTGCATTCTGTTTGTTGGGTTAGATTCAAGCTGCGGACCTATACCAGGCCTTGGAGGCAAGTGCCAGATTTTAATGAGTAGGAGAGGACACGGCAGCTGCCCAAAAACATGAATGGAGCTCTGCAGATCTTGGTGATTGTATCAAATATTCAAATCAGAACTTTGAAAGCGGCAGAGGAAATTTGTAACTCAACTGCAAGAAATATATGTAAATCTCAAAAGCTATGAAAATGTTAAGCCCAAAGAGCCCACGATCGAGCAGTTTAATAGAACAGAATTGTAAAGCAAAGTAATTGAAAACAAAGAGCAGAGACTAGAGAGCAATCAGAGAATTGTTGTAATGGAAGAGAATGAAGAAAGCAGAGGAGTACAGCAAGAAGAAGCAAGCAGCGAGCAAGAGATATGGAGTTGGGGGGCAGGAGCGGACGGGCAGCTGGGCACGGGAAGGCTACAGGACGAGCACCTCCCTTAACTGTTTCACCTCCCTACTCTCTCCTCTGCCGCCGGACCCATCTCCTTCCTCGCCTGCGGCGGCGCTCACCTTCTCGCCTTGACCTCAGGTCTCTTCCTTACTTCCGTCTAAATATTACAAAAATACTATATTTTTCTTTTCTTTTTTTCATAGGAACGAAAAATAAAAAAACCACGTTTTTGCAGGTGGGAAGGTGCTGACGTGGGGAAGGGGCACATCCGGTCGACTAGGTCATGGTGATGTGGTCAACAGCCCAGATCCCATGCTTGTTATGTCTTTGAACAATTTCTTCATTACTCATGGTTCAGCTGGTTGGAACCACTCCAGTTTCGTTTCAGGTATATTCTGGCAGTTTGTATGGTTTACACTGGTGGTATTCTACTTCAAACTAATCTAGCCAATGTGTAACTCGGGTGCATAGGAGGACGCTGCTCTAGCCAATGCAGCTATTTGTGCGTCTGCTCAGGCAGTTGATATATATATATATATATATATATATATATGTGGTGAAATATGTTTATGAATCTTTGACACTTTTATGCCTATTTCTATCCGTGTGGAATCGAAAAACCAATTTGAGATTTTACCCCAGTTCTTGAATTTTGCATGTTTTACTGCTTTGTATTTAACTTGATGGCAACTTGAATCATGGGGAATCCGGGAATGTTCAACTTATTTCTGGATTTGGGACTTTTCTTGCTTGTTTTCAGATGCAGGGGATCTTTTCACATGTGGAGATGGCTCATTTGGTCAGCTCGGGCATGGTGATCTCCAGTCACAATGCCGTCCTGTCAAAGTCTCCTTCTTTGTTGATAAGCGTGTGGAGCAAATAGAATGCGGAATGCGCCATTCGCTTGTTCTGCTGAAAGGTAGATTGTAGGGTTGATCTTGTATGATTCTGGCAGATGCAATTCTTAAATGTAGTGATGCTGATTTATGTGGATGTATATGTTTCTTGACATGCTTAAAGCTTTGGCTTTTTGAACTACAAGAAGTCATTCCCTTTATTTGATATAACCCATTTGTCGTAGTGTATGATGTTTTCTGAGATCAATATGCTGCAGGTGTTTCAGGAGATGAAGTTTATGGGTTTGGTTCTGGAAAGCGTGATCAACTGGGTATCTCCAAAGATAAAGATCAAATTAATTAGTCTTTCTTGACCGAACTTACAGATTTGAAGGCGTGAAAATTGCTAGCATCGCTGCAAATGGAGATCATAGTGCAGCATTATCTGGTGAGTGCAGCAAATCCCCCTTTCTTGAATTGGTGATATAAAGCTGATTGCTAGTAATACGAATATACAGCTTAAAAATGTTCCAGTTCACGAAAGATCGACGAACTTCCTTGCTAGTCGTGGTCCATAGTTTCCCACATAGTAAAGAAGCCGGTGCAGCCCATAGAAAGTACCAATTGATTCCCTGAACTGTTGTTTTCTTTGTTGTCTATGGCATCAGCTGAGGGGCATTTGTACACTTGGGGAAGAGGGTTTGGTGGCACTTTTAGCACTCACTGCTCACAGCGTTTACCTAAGTTGTTCTCATTTACCAGAGTTGCTGTCCGATGGAATCATGCTTTAGTATTAGCTTGTATGTACATTGATTTCATGTTTTAACTAGTTCTGTGTATTCATATCTGTGGTGAAAAGATGTCGTGTTTTTAAATAGCTGCCCTGCCTCGGATACATCGTAAACAGGTGCAGAAATTCTTATGCTTGGTGGAAATCACCATGGAGTTCTTAGTAATCCTGAAAAAATGACTCCAGTAAAGCACTTAGCAGGTCAAGGCATTTCATCGTACAGATCTGAAAAGTACACTGGATATTTCTGGTAAGTTTAATGTATCTGAATGATCTTCGGGCTCGAATTATGATTGCTGCTGATTGCGTGTGTGATTCTTTACGTCAACAGAATCAAACGAAGTTGTCGTTGAGAAAATCCCCGGTCTCGGTGAGAGTAGAAGTGTGCAGATTGCAGCTGGAGCCGAGCACTCTGCTATTATGGCAGAGGATGGAGTGATTAAGACATGGGGTTGGGGTGAAAATGGTCAGCTTGGCTTGGGAAATACAGATGCCAAACGAGTCCTCAAGAAGTGAGTTTCTGCCACAAATTTCGGGAAGAAGCCGACACAATCAAGATTTACTGTGGCAGCGGGTTCACAGTTGCCATAAGAACTTCGTGTCGCCGTTCTCAGACTGATTAACCACCTATTTACCTGAGCTTTACCTAGTTCATGCTGTGTAAATATATAAGTTATACAAGGTCGTGTTTTTTGGACTGAAATGTCATGGGTTCAAGTCGTGAAAACAGCCTCAAACAACCAACCTTACTTTCGAAACAAAAAGCCGCAAACTTAAAATAGTCTGCGATCAGAGCTAGAAAAGTGACAGTTTTCCGGAAATTTTCCCATTGAGTTACTTGTCACAATTTGAAAATTCGGGTTTTACATGAAGAAGATTAGAAGAAAAGACGCCAACGGTGATGTTACATATGAATCATGACATAAAAGAATCACATTAGTTAATATCTACACCCTATATGTTCAAGAATCTGGGGAAGAATTGCTGTCTGTGCTCGATGAATACCTTCGTATGCTTGTAGGGGACTTCAGTTGTATGTGTTATGTTATGATCAGGACGTTGTTTTCATACCCGTTGTTGCGAACAATTGGGCGTAGGGGATCAACCCGCCATTCACCATCGGCAATGAACTTAATCTGAAATGCAAGATACAAAAGATATTAATCGATGGGGTTCCGGAAATATAAAAGCTCAACCGGATAACAACAAATTTTACTTGCCTCGTATCTGCCGGGATACAATTGAAGGCACAAAGAGAAGACTCCTGGTCTCGACTTCTCCATCTTTCTCTGCAAGCAACCAACACAGGTAACAACATTTGTATTACAAAAGCAAGTAGAAGACCACTGCTAAGAAACATGGTAGTAGTACTGGTATTTCGAAAACGCGGGTAAAATGCAAGTATAAATACCTCACAAAACAAAAAATACATGCACATGATAAAATAACTTATTATTTTTATTAATCGTTTGCAGTATTTCTTCATCTAATAATGAAAGGAAAGTAAGAAAATAAATGAATGAGTGGACGAGGACATGCATCTACTCTTATTACTTAAGCCTAACCTAACTGATCAATTCAAGAGGAGATCAGACCTGGGTGGTCCAACCATCATATGATCCAGCAATGAGCACTTCTGAGGCTGAATTTGGCCAAACAATGCAAGCAGTCCGAAGAAGTCGTAAGGCCTTGCGAGCATCACCAATCCGCTTCTGTTTCTCCTCCACAATCTTTTGCGCTTCGCTGATATGGGTGGGTAACATGTCAATGGTCAAGTAAGTCATAGTCTTGTTTTTAAACTAACAGAAATTGTGCATACATTATTGCCATTGCCACCTTTCCTTCTAAAACAGCTATCTTTGCACGTGTTGAACGCAATTTGTCCCGGGCATGCATAATCTCATTTTCCTGAAACTCCCAAGCATCAGCAAGGTTCTGCAAATCTGCAGAGTTGCTTTCATGACCCTGATGAAAAATATAGAATGTGTTTAATATAATGACATGAATCCTCTCGAAACATTATAACTGTATGAGAACGCTTCCAAGAGAAACTGAATGCAAACAGAACTTAAGGATTCCATGGCAAAGAAAATGAAAGCAAATACATAGTTAAAACTTTAGAGTGAAAATTTTCAAACTAGATATAATTTTAATATTTTTTGTAATTAAGACTGTTCATACCCACCTCCTGTGATGCAGCTTCATCAGTTTTAGACCTCAACAAGCGAAGTGCAGAGATGAGCTCTGATTCAAGGTGCTTGATGTGACCACGTATTTGCTCGTGATTGATCCCTTTCTGATTAGAATCCAGTTCAATCCTTCGATCGGGTTCATTAGCTCCTGCTCTTAGTTGAAATATGCGATCTCTTGAAACATCCTCTGACACTTCCGTTTTATCACAAGAAAATTCATCAGCTGTACATTACACACATTATATCATCAATCAAAGGTTACTTGAACCAAATATTGAACCATCAATCTGGTGAAAACTGAAAACAAGTAACTATAAAATACCTTCAAAATCCAGATCCGAAACTCCAGCCCTCTGGGTGCTCCAAGTTCTCCACATGTCAGGTCTGGGTGAGTCTCTTAGCACATCAATGTTTGAAAGAGATCTGTTGTGGTTAGACCTGTCTCTTGAATCGTTAAGAATGGCTTTGGTGGGGTTTACTGATGCAGGTCCACTGCTTGTCAAGGCCAGCAACTGTCTTTTACAATGCAACATGCATCACGTTATGTTCTAGAATTTCTACATGCAAAGGAAACAATCACATCAAACACTTAAAAACAAATTATTTTCATGCCGATGCTGTCATTGTGACTGCCAACATAAAAGGTATCCTCTCTTTCAAGTTTCAAATGAACTTCATGCTGGAAAGAACAAAATAAGTTTCATTAACATTTGCTGATAAATTAGAATCATTTTGTTTTAGACATATGCAATCCTCAAGAAATATACCAAAAATGCAATTCGATTCTGAAATATATATCATCAGCTTACCACCATAAATGTATACAGAAGCATGTAAACTGGAAACAAGTAAAAATTTCAGGACTTTGCATAATGCTTTCCCCTAGAATATCACCCCACCAAAAGACACAATATATTTCAAAGTAAATTAAACGAACTTACATCATCAGCTGAGTCTTCTTTCTCTCTCAAAGTAAAACCAAGCGTCAAATTTCTCTGTTTCTCCAATCGATTCAATATACCCGCAATTCCAGTATCGTCCTCTGTTGTAGCGGCTTCTCTATACATATATACAACAGTTGAGTTGAATCCCTTTCCCCAAGAGTATTCATCGATTCTAGTGTTAAACATAGAGTATCAATGAACGATGAATATCTTGTCCTCGCCTTTTATTTTAGATAGCAAATCTCATCCACACAATATATATCCATGGTGCAAATATTCAATGAAAATTTCACAGTTTGCACATCGCTTTCCAAATTAATGACATAGAAAACAAAAAGAATAATTATACCAGGGAAAAAAAACAAATCTAAAAACTTGAACAAGTTTCAATTATAACAGAATCCTCACAGTGATCGACCAGAGGACGATGCTGCTTGAGAAGAATCACCAAGAATCGAAGAACCCACGCCGGAAACCCCAGTTTGATTGCCGCTGGAGGCACCGCTGTCGAATGCCAATGTGGAATCCCAATTCCTAAAGTTGCGTTCTTGAGCTCTATCTTCTTCTTCCAAATCCCAACCCAACGAAAGCCAACCGCCTTTCTTCGTAATTGCATCGACCAAATCTTCTCTCCCAGCTTCCAACAGCTCCTTCTTGCTCGGAAACGCCTGGGGCTTCTTGGAGCTCTTCATGAACTCCAGAATCTCAGCTTCCAAGGTGAAATCATCCCCCTCGCCATCCCAATCTTTACACCGCCTCGCAAACCCAGAAAACCCACAATACAACCCGTTGTAATTGTACCCTTGTCTCGACTCTGAAAACCCTAGAATCAAAGAACAGCCGGTCATCGGGTGATGACCCCGCAGCCGCCGGGTTATTGCTCTTGAATTACCGATGAAAAGAATCGAGGGAAAGGCGCGAGGGACGACAACTGGGGAGGAGGAGGGCGGGAGGATCAGGTGGTTCGCGGCGGTGGTGGAAGAGAGCATGGCTCAGGCATTTCGACGAACAAATGGGGGTGGAAGGCGGAGAAATGTAAAAAAGGAAGGGACGGGGAGCGAAGCAACGAACAAAACCACCGGGACACGTAAACGGGCATTAAAGGCGAAATAAAGGCGAAGGTGTACGAATAGAAATTTAGCGTGCGTTTAAAACTCCCAAAAAACAATTGTTTGATATTTTAGTCATTAATTAATGCATGTTGCAAGAGGATACGATAAGAGGACCAAAGGACCAAGGATTCCGTTGAATGAGACAGATTCTCCAATGTAAGTCTTCTTTCTCGCAATTAATGTTGAAGGGAGGTTTGTATCTTACACGATTGATTGTCATTAGGACTAATATCATTTGACATAGAGGGACTCAGATCCTCTCTGGATCAGTTCTGTCGAGATCCTCTCCGACGAATTGATCTCATTCGTTGATGCATATCCAACAATCGGATTGGTTGCATGAATATGGATATGGATGAAAATTGAAATGTCTAAAATATATGACATAAACACAACCCTAAAGAAGTTGAGGGGCCTTAGGAAATTAAACAACATGAATATGGATGAAAATTGAAATGTTTGAAATATATTACAATTTTCATTTTGTAGTTTTGGAAGTTGACCTTGGTTGACCTTAAACACGAAGGGTCTCATAGTATAACTATGAGTCTTGTTTGTTCATGATTCTCTTCAAAAACGATATATTTAGGCATCCAATTCTGATACCAGAATATTTTTCGCTGCCTATTTTGTTGCCATATCGATTGAATCCAATTTCTCAACTTCAATTCTTCTTTTCAGAATTTGAAACATTTATTTTCTTCATCTTTCTCCGTTATAATTGACCCATATCTTGTTCTACATCAGATTCTCTTTTGAAATAATGAATAATTTTAGTGGTTTATTATTTAAACACTTGTCATTGCTCTCAAATGCTTTTGTCATTGCCATGTTACTAATTGCATGATAATGTCTCTCTTTAACTAAGTTATGTCAGATCACTTGTCCATTTGATTTGAGATATATAAACCTCCAGCGTTTGTGTCCACCAAAATGGTTTCATGTGGAACTTGAATTCAAAAGGTCCTCCCTTGTGTGTCATCCTTGGGCGTGGAAGCTCCTATCCAAAAATTTATTAAGTAAAAGGGGTTAGGTTATGGGATTAATTACAACTAAACATGGATGTTAGTTAGTATAGTACCCTAACAAAATGAATTAGGCTTCGTGTTTTTTTTATTTTTATTTTATTTTATTTATTATTTAAGAGCGACGATAGCATATCATTTAAAAAATAAGGGCTGATTACAACAGAACAAGAAGGAGGGAGACAACAGACGAGTCCCCTCTCTAAAATAATCAACCATTACATTCAAGCACGAAAAGATCAGACAAAAGGATGAAGATCTTAGTTCTCAAAAAAAGAAAAAAAAAAAAAAAAAAAAAAAGAGATGAAGATCAGTTACTGGATCCAAACACAACTCAAACAAAGTCTGGGTTGAAAGCCATGCCTTACATATATCCGTAGTACGTTTCTCGCTTTCTCAATGAATTCTTACATGCATGTTATCGGGGATTTATAAGTATAGAGAACTCGTATAATTAATATTGTGATAAGTATTATAATCTCGTGACATGCAATATATTTTCGATGATAAAAAAATTTATCATGACACTCATGGCCAGTCCAGGACCTATATAAGACACATGTCCTATTTATTTTAAAATGAGCCAAATAAAGTTCGATCTTACAATCAGGCTAAATTAACCACAATCTAAAAAATAGAATCGAACTCGAACCCGCTCATTAGGACTTAACGCTTTTTACATGCCTAATTTGAAAGAAATTTTGAGATCTGACACCAGACCACGTATCTGTGTGGATTTGATACACAAAAAACATTACATACACCTTGATGTGGTATGCTAATCCTACCTTATTTTGGCCCGCCCACTCTCTCAAACCAACCCCAATCCAGTTTTCCTGCCCAAGAACTTCTCCTAATTTGGCTCCAATGTCTCTCTCTCATTTCTTTTTTTCCTATTCTGTTTTTTTTTATAATTGTACTTTGGCTTGGATTCCTCGTGTTAACTCATTCCTCCTCAGGAGCTTGACAACTCAGTACGAAAAAAAGGACGATAAATGCCTTATTGCTTTTTTTTTTTTTTTGGGTGGGGGTCCGTTATGTCCAAGGTAGGTGGCTTCTTCTCCGGATTTCTCCCTGTTACACATATATTAGCTTCCTTCATCACGCTCCAAATTAACATCACAGAGAGAGAGAGAGAGAGAGAGAGAGAGAGAGAGAACAAATGGCGAGGGATAAGAAGAGAAGTTGCAGCAGCTCTTTCTTGTCCTTCTCCTCCCCGAAAGGTACATCAATAATCCCTTCTTATGAAAAAACTCTCCTTCCTCCGAGCCATTATTATTGCCACAAAACCATGACCAAACAATGCCTGAGTGGAAGCCCATGCCTCACATCTTAGGTGTACATATATATGTTTATATGTGTTTTTTTATTCTTCTTTGAATTATTTAATCTAAATCTCAAAATAATTGCAAGTGGGGAAAATAAATATGCAGGAATCATTTTCTTTTATACATATATATATATATATATATGCATGTTTTTTTTTTTTCATATATGATTTTTATTTTGTGTGTGTGTGCAGGTACTGAATCAATTTCGACGATGGCGACATTTGGAATGGCAGCAAATTTTATGGTGTATTTGCAGGGACGAAGCCATAAATTTAACTAAGAGGAGGCACCTTAAAAAATTTAAGCTTTTTCTTTTTGGACAAGTAAAGCTAGTTTTTTCACAAATGCTAAAAAAATTAGTTATAAAATGCCTAATTTTATTACTCTATTGTCTAATTTTGTCTTTGATTATTGTATTGACAATCTAATGCTTATTCGTACTAATTACTCAAATACATGCAACTCAACAAGGTTTAGACATTAAGTGCGTGAGGATAAAAAAAAAAGAGAGGGCATTTTAAAAACTAAAAGAGGATTTTTCACCATTTTAATATGATTAATAGAATAATTTTTAATGAAAAAAAAAGGGTGAGAGGGGGCATGTCACCCCCCCCCCCCTCCCTTCCCCACAAACAGCCTTACAACCCTCCGTCCATGTGTATGGAGTATCACATGGAGCAGGTTACTGCTGCCAGTATAATTAACATTTGTCCTACTGTTTATTAACAGTCGTTGGTACCTCCATTGCTGATATTTATCTGCCTAATTTTCATTTCTAAATTGTTGGTTCCCAGCTTCTTGAAGAAAGCTGCTAGAGAAGTGGACAATGAACTAAAAGATGATGGATCTTGTACAACTCCATCGAGGCTATGTAGCATTCAACAAGTTGAAGAGGTAATACATGTTATGAAAATCCTCCCCAGTATTTGTTTCCGGTGTCATCTGCTTGCTGGCCTGGCCCTTGCCCAAGAACCAACTGTTGTAGTAGTACTCGTATCACAAGCCATGAAAATGGATCGTCACGTTGGACTGAATTTCGGAATTCCTGCTGCATCGGCGAAAATGATGTCAATTATGACGCTCTTGATTTCCCTCACGTTGTGCGACCGTGTCTTGCAACGAGCCCTAACAAAGTTCACTAAATGTGAAGGTGGGATACCACATTTAGTGAGCAACAAAGGAGAGCTTTGGCTACATCACAATGCTTCATCGAACGGGGTTGTAGCCACGTCGGTTTTTTGGCTATTTCCCCAGCAAATGTTGCTCGATTTGTGAGATGTTGGGCGTTGTTGGGCTCCTTGAATTTTACAACAAAGAGTTTTCTGAGAAGATGAGAAGTATTGGGAATTCTCTGCCCTATCTTTGCTTGGCCGGGGTTACTTATCTGAGTACTGTGGCGGTGTGCATTCTGAGTAGTGTTACAGGAAGGCATGGTCAGCCCAACTGGTTGGACAATGATATCAATGCAGGATTGGACTATTTTTTACCTTTTTGTCTCGTAAAATTATCATGTGAATATTTTTAGCACATTAGAAAGAACAAACTTTAACGTCGAAATGCAGTTGAATAGCATACATTTAGGAGAAGAAAGTAGGATTGTCATCGGTGGATTCATAACTTTTGAATACATTTGATTGGTTAGGAAGTTGGCTAAGTGTCTTAATAGACTAACTATAATTTGGCTTGAGTTATTATTCGGCATGGACGAATATCGTAAACAAATGCGTCAGCAAGTGAAGATGCTTCATCATCAATCTAATCATAAAAATTGTGAGTCGAGATGGTCGATCCGCAATCCAAGCATCAAAATCACGCGGCAAAACGGATATATCCAGAAAATGCGACTACATTTCGCACGACTAAAAGGAAAAATATGGAAATGATGTATTGGGCCATATTGGTAAAGAAAGAAGATCATAACTTGGGCCTCAATTTTTTTCTAATGGGCCTGTCTTTTTTTGTTTTTTTTCCTTTTTTTTTTTTTCTTTTAGAGATAAGTCAGCCACAATTAATGGAGGCCGCGCACGCTTCAATGTGGGACTTCTTTCGCCATCTTGCCTATATATACGTCTGCCCCAGCCAAGCATGTTACCTCAAACTCAAATTCTTCATACAGTGCTTTGAGAAAAGCACTTCCTCAAAGCTTAGCTAGCTAGTGTAGTGCCCGCTGCCCGCTTAATCTTCTTGCATGTTAATAAGCTGAATTAGCAGATCAAAATATATAATGGCGATGATGGCTGAAGGCAAGAAGCAGAAGCAGCAGCAATCAAGCCACTGCCTCTACGTCACAAAGTGGTTTCAGAAAAGCACTTCCTCAGAGCTGTCACACAAATTTCCTTTAAGCCCAGATAAAGAACCAGTTGATAGAAAACGTGATGTCACAAGAAAACCTGGTGGTTGGAAGGCCATGCCTTTCATCTTAGGTCTCTCTCTCTCTCTCTCTCTCTCTCTCTCTCTCTCAACCTCTCTCTTTCTCTCTCTCATGGAGGATGTTGCACCGAAATCGTTGTGTCCCAGGTCATTGATGAAAAAATATGCAAGTTTTTTTGTCGACACGATCGAGCACGGGATGCTATCGGTGGCAGTTTACTCTCATTCCATGATGTGTTAATACATCTTTATCCATTACATTGCGATCAAAGAGTCTAATTTATTAAAAGATGATAAAAAAGGAAAACGTTTTTAATGGTGGTGGTGGTGCAGGAAATGATACGTTCGAAAGGTTGGCTGCTTTTGGGTTGCTGGCAAACTTTATGGTGTACTTGACGAGGATGCTACACCTAGACCAGGTTTCAGCTTCCAACATTATCAACGTCTGGTCTGGTTTGACCAACTTTGCTCCTCTCCTCGGTGCCTTCATCTCCGACGCCTATGTCGGCCGCTTTCGGACTATTGCTTTTGCGTCCATTTCTTCTCTCATGGTACCTCTCTTTCTAACTTCTCTCTCTCTCAATTATATATTTATTTTACTTTTTTGCCAATGCTTTCTTTGTTTTATCTTGGCAACTTCATTAGTTTGGCAACTGTTTGTCCTAATATGTTAATATTTGGTTACTATTAAATACTACTTTGACTAAATTTGAAGATAATTCATAAAAAAAAAAAATTTAAATCGAAGTTTGTTTAGTCATCTAAAGTATCGAATAAGTTTCGTTCAAAAAAATATATTGAATAAGTTAACACTGTGGTACCAAGTAATATATTCATAATGAATCGTCAATTTATTTTGATATATTCGAATGACTAAACGAACTGCTATTCGAATTTTGAATGAGTTTTTGTATGGATGATCTTTAAATGAAAACTAAGAAATTAAGCAGTTTCAATTATTAAATTTTCATATACATTTTTTTTTTTGTTGAACAAAGTAAAGATACATTATTAACAAGTCAGAAAATAAGTTCATTCACCAAAAAATAACACAAGTATTATCCACTTAATAATGTATCAAATACTGTATATAGATATAAAATATTGAATTTAACAACTAATCACTCCTAAGCCGTGTATATACTTTTCAGATATGTGATTTATAAATCTGTGGCCCTTCTAGGGCCATTCTTCATTAATTAATACCAACAATTTGTGCATGGTATTATGAATATTTGTTTCATGTGTCACGTGCTTTAGTACTCTATGGTTGTGGGGTTTAACTTTTAGAGGTGGGAGAGCGCGGGTGATGATCTTGTAGTTTACTTTGTTGTCTTATTGTACGTAAAATCTCAGAAAGTCTTTGAAAAGGTACCAGTGAGTTTTAGCAAAACCTACCCTTTGTGCACAGTTGAAGTTTTATTTTAATTTTTTACATGACGTTATTAAGTTAGAAATTTGAGTTAAGTTGCGCAATAAATCAAATATAATTTTGGTTTGAACACGTCAACTAGAGAATGAGAGAAATCGGTTGAAGTTGAACTGCCAGTATAATAGGTAATCCAATAAGGAAACCCAGTAATTGAAGCTAGAGCTACCAGTCAATATGGTATACGGTTTTGGAAAGCTTAGCCAACATTTCGAAAACACGCGAAAAGTTACGTGATGAATAACAGTGGTCTTTTTAATCCTGTCTTTATTTAAAATCTACTAGTCAATCAATAATATAAATATTATAATGGAAAGGCTCGTTACTCGTTGGTAATTTGTTATTCGACGGGTTAGGTCACAGTGAATCCCATTCAGGGATTCTATTGTTCCGAGTTTAGAGAAAATAAACGAGTTTTGTTATGAAAATGCACATCCGAACCCAATCACCTCGTTGTCATCCCTAGCGTCACTTTCATTAGTTTTACAAGAAATTATTACTTTCACTGTGTATGCAATTTTGCTTTGTATTAATTTTTTTCTTAATTGTAATAGAAAATTTGCTACAAATTTTGAAGTAAATAAAAGTTCAATTAGATTTTTCTCTGTGGAACTCCTTTTTAAATTTTTACCCATTAGTTAATTTATTGTGTAACATTACTTATATAAAAACAGGGAATGGCGACAATTACTTTAACAGCGTGGCTGCCGCAGCTGCATCCTCCGCCATGCAACCCACAACAGCAAGCACTGAGTCAGTGCACCGGTCCAACCCGAGCTCAACTCGGTCTCCTGCTACTGGGCCTAGGGTTTCTGTCCATAGGCTCAGGTGGCATCAGGCCATGCAGCATCCCATTTGGCGTTGACCAGTTTGACCCAACCACCGAAGAAGGAAAGAAAGGAGTGAAAAGCTTCTTCAACTGGTACTATGCTACGTTCACAGTGGTCTTGTTGATCACCCAAACCGTAGTGGTTTACATTCAAGACAAAGTCAGCTGGAGTTTAGGGTTTGGGATCCCAACGGTGCTAATGGCTTGCTCTATCCTGCTTCTGCTTATCGGGTCTAGGGTTTACGTGCATGCAAAGCCACAGGGCAGTATGTTCACTGCGATTGCACAAGTACTTGTTGCTGCTCATAAGAAACGCCACGTTAAGCTTTCGGAAGAAGCAGAAATTATACAAGTTGACAAATTCTATGATCCTCCAATATTCAAGGGGCATTACGCCTCTAAGCTCCCTCTCACAAACCAGATCAGGTAACAAATCTTTGTTGTGATAGATCGATCCGTTCTTTATTCATTAATTAAGCATTGATTTGAAAGTATTAATATGCGTAAAGTTGGCATCTCCGGCCTAATCTATTGATTATAGATTTTAGGTTTCCAAACATGAGAGAGGATCCTCGCTGAATTCTCTTTGTGATGAGCATTCCGGGGATCCTCCAATCATATCCGTTCGTCGTACATTGTGCGGTCAATTTTCGTCAGGTACTGTTTATATTCAATTTTAAATAAACAAATTTACAATGATTTATGACTGCACGATGTACGATGAACGGATGTGATTTAAGGATCCTTGAAAATCTCACAAAAAGGATCTGGCGAGGATCCTCACTCTCCAAACATATCTAGAGTGGCCAAAGTAAAGTTTAATTAGGTTTCTTGAGGACGTGTTTGAATCGTGACAATTAATAATGAGTATTTATCAAATATAGCCAAAAATTAACTCTTAATTTCAAAAATTTCACTTTTTATAAAAACTTTCAAATATATCCAAAATTTCACTTAAATAGACACAAATACCCTCAAATTTAACAATTAAATAAATTAAAGGTTTTTTAGCTATTGTCACCTCAAGCTCCGGTCCAACTTCACCTTCGCTTCTACACTCCACCACCACGACCCTATCCCTTTTGACCCCCTCATCACCGACATTGAGCGCCACCGCGATTACCGCAAGTGGAAGCAACAGAATTTCAATCATGCCTTCAAAGCCTTTTTTCTTACTAATATCATTTTTAGTTTTAAGTATAAAAATAGTTTTTAAAGTTAATCTGCATGTTGTTATATGATTGTATTTGTGAGACCCACATGGCGCCATATCATCACACTAACATAACAATTGACAGATTTTTCACAAAAAAAAAAAACTAAAATGATCACGATGGACAAATTCAAAGAAAGACTAAAATGATTCACGATAGACAAATTCAAGAACACTACTATTGATTATCATTAATTGTTAAGGACCAGATTAAGGAGTTACGTCAATATCACGAATCATTTTGGCTAAAAAGGCTTTAATTTATTTAATTGTTAAATTTGAGGGTATTTGTGTCTATTTAGTTAAAATTTTGGATATATTTGAATGATTTTATAAAAAGTGATATTTTTAAAATTAAAGGTAAATTTTTTACTATATTTGATAAGTACTCATTAATAATACTTAATGAGTGTTGTCTAACCTCTTTGTATTAC